CGCTTATTTATTGCACAAATATTTAGTGACATACTATGTGCATGACATTATACTAAGCTCTGGTGATCTAGGAAATTAAATTTTTTCAATTTTTTAAACAAAATATCTATAAGGGTAAGACACTCAATGTTTAGTTGATCACATAATCTTCTTTAGAATTTATATAGTTCCTTGGGAAAATAGGCAGTTAGCAGTTTTCAAGTATTTTAACAATTATGGATATTATAGGTCCATAGGATATTTTATTAGTAGTAGTTATAGTAATACTAGCTACCATTTGTAGAATGCTTATTTGAAGGTATGATATGGTACTCTATAATCTTAACAGACCTGCAAATTTATTATTTTGAATCTATTGTTATAAATTAAAATTTAAAGAATACTGATATAAAATCTAGAGTTAGAAAGTTTCTTATCAAACTGTATAGTAATTTCTCTGACTGTATATCTCCTAAAACTAAAACGGTCATGAAAGTAGAGGCTGGGATATTCTTGTGTGTGTGTGTGTGTATATATATTTATTCATCTTCAGGGCTTGCCCTGTGGTTGTGAAACAGTAAATGTTCAAGGTAAGAATCATTGACTTTCAGAGAAAAAACAAATTTCCCTCAATTCTATCAAAAGGACATTATGTTTTACCTGTCTCTCTACTTATGGGACTTTGCACAGTCATGTTGCTTCTTCCCCCGGGCTGGCTGCTCTGGGATTTGTGTAAAGGGGTTGGTGTGCAATAGGCAAATGAAAAGATAGAACCTAAAACAAAGTGGCTTAGTGGAGAAAGGGGGTGCACACATGCCTGTCACCTTAAGTGTGTGAGGCTGGGCTCAACTGCAAATGAGAGAATCGTTTTCTGGACAATCCTCTGCAGTCTTTAGTTCAGAATAAAAATCAGTGCATGGGACTTTCCCTCTCCCTTCTTATCCTTGGGAATCTCTAGGAACCAAGCCGGTAGCCTACAGGCAAATGTATGTATTTTATTTCTGTGAGTACAGTTTGAGAAATGTGAGGATGGGAGAAGAAACAACACGAATGAGAGTGTGAATGGAGGAGTTCCAGTTTTGGGTGAATAATTTGTAGCTTTCCTGTAAAGCACAATTCAGCATTTTAGGCAAACGGATTTTACATCTTACTGCATCTAGATTCTACAATAATAAGATTTGGTGCTGTGTGAAAAGTCTATGCCTGATTAGGGATGAACAGAGGAGTATTACTGTAGTAAAATAAATGAAGTTGTACACCCTTCTTTCTGGTGGAGTCTTCAGCTGTCACCTTAGGCTGATTTGAGAAAAGGTTATTGTGAGCTAGGAATCTAAGGATATTTCTGCAAACATTTTGATGCCCTACAGATATTTTATACATTTTTTTGTTTTGCCTGTATACCTGCATAAGAAGAATTAAAATTATCATAGTCACTCTTAAATGACATTTTGTATTAGGATTTGTTCTCATTTGCATTTTCTCTTAAACTCGGAACCTGTTTTCCTTTCCCTATTTTTTTTGCACTTTATATTTGAAGAAATGTAAACTATAATATCAGATCAACTCCCCAAATATTTATTAAGTGGAATTAAAATGTATTGTATTGAGATATTAAACACTGTCAATCTATTCTAGCCAGACATTTGTATTAGTTTTCGTGGTTCTTATAATATAAAATTTAATATCTTTTTTCTTAAGTGGGCAAATTACTTTTGTAAATACCTATAAGGAAACCTAGTCACATTTCTTTACTGATATTTTTGAGATGACGTGAAAAATATTAACTCAAAATTTCAAATATGTATTGGATAATGAAACTGTGGTAACCAGTATACTTGGTAGTGGTGTTAATGAGGCTTATTTTTCCTTTCAAAAACAAGTAGTATCTATTTTATGATAATTGTCCAAAGTCTTTTCACTCTAAGTTTTCATTATCAGGTGCTGAAATAGAAGACTGCTGATAGGGAAAATGATGAAATAATGCAGGGATCAAATGTAAATAAACCTCAAGGTAAATAACTTGGTCAACATGAAGAAGGCACATTATTTGTACTATTTTCCATGGAATGCCCTTTCCTGGAACCTCTGAGAAATAGGATGATTACTAAGGCGTTCTTTTGGAGTTTTACTTTACTTTTTTATGATTATAAAAGACTTTTGTAGTTTGAGGGGTACAATTTAAACTTAAAATGACAAAAGGTATATGAGTATATTATAGCCATACTGAGATTTTTGTTATCCGTCAGATGTTTATCACTAGTTTTGCATATTCTGTTCAAGTCATTCTGAAACAATTAGTGGCTCCATTTTTCATCAGTAGATAATATTAAAAGTTATTCTGAATATCTCAGATAATTCTGTGCATCATTTTAGTTAGGGACAAAACGGCAGACTAGAGACCACGAACACCTGACCTCCTGAGAGAGGATCTGTTAGACACCACGCAAGACTCTTGAGGCACAATACCACCCATGAGTGCGTTTACAGACTTCAGTGAGTCTTTTCCCTTTCTTCATGTGTAAAATGGGGAACTTGTTAGTGTTAAATGAATGGTTTTCAATTAAATTTTTTTAAATAAGAGAGGTCGTTTTTCAGAGGAAATTTTAGGTACCCACATGAAGGTGGGTAACAGGGAGACGACCCTGCCCAGGGGAAGAACCGTTTCTGGGTGAAGAGCAGTGTGAGTCCGCTCCCAGGTGCTTTAGCCTCCTGGTGGACAGAGAGTTTGAACGCCATGGTAGACAGTCTCTGACTTTCTGCTGAGGTCTAAAATGCTATGATCGGTTACATCATCTCAGAGGTAAATTGCCAGATTCACCGTATGTCCATCCCTTACCCATCTCTTAATTGAGTGAAAGTTACTTGTAATACCAGATGGAATTAAAAGTGTTTTTTTTCCCACTGACAGGAACATAAGATTTTCTTGTTTAGCTTAAGTAAATGCAGTTTGGAATAACTTCTTTTTATAAATCCTTTAATTTATCTGTCCAAATATAATTTTGCAAGAAGTAGGAGTTAATCTGTGAAAGAAGGAAAATTCGGTGCCATTTTCTTCAGCAGTGGGTTATCTCCCTAATGACTTAACAGGTTTCCTCCTCTCCACCAAAACTCTTTTGTCCTCTTCTCTTTACTCTGCCCCCCACTCTGTCCTTGACTAAGATCCCTCCTCTACCTGATTGTTCTGGGAGCCTCGAAACATTCTACTTTTTTTTCTTCCATCTTCATTGCTACTAATGCCCTAAGAATGACATTTTCTTGCTGATCTAGTTTAGAACAGGGAGGAGAGCTCCATCACTTTCTTGTTTGCCCCGGAGTGGCTAGATGCTAGCAGCCCAATCTGTGGTGCAGAATTATTTTTCATACAGAAATGATGTTACAAGTGTACACCAGAGACTGTAGAATTCTTAGTACTGTATACTATAGTTCATTTACTTTATAGGTGAATTCCCCAATGTGTGTTGGTCAACTGTTATAAAAGCTATTTCTTTTAGAAAAGTGAGGTCTGTATTTCAGGCAACCAACGTAGAGATGAATGCAGAACCTTCATGGTTAGGGACTCAACATATTTATTGATTGATTCACAGGTGCATATGTTCACTGGTTCAGCATCCATCCATAAGAAAGCACCCACACTTTCTTTTCCTTTTGCAGGTAAATTGAATTTAGCCTGAGAGGCTGAAATAGAGAGAACATTTTCAGATATAAGCTGTTTTTTTAAAAATTTAAAGATCATAAAGACAGGATGCAATAAAAATGATAGTGGTTACCACCATCACATTTGAATTTGTGAAATGGACAATTGCCTTACATAAATAGCAAGTAAAAAAAAATCGAGCCAGTCCTTTATAAACATTTTATTCTGGAGTGCGCTTGTTTTCCAAAACTACCTCTATTAAATCTCCTGTCAGTCTTGAAACTAGAAGGCAGAAAAGCTTCTAGTGCTACAGCCAACTGCAGTGTAGCCAAAGAAACAGGCAGCAAAAATAGAACACCAGGATTGCTGTGCGTGGGTGAGGCAGAAACCACATTATGAGCAAAAGCTTCCAGTATTATTTTAGAACCAATACAGAGCTCTGCACTTCTCTCCTCTCCCTTCCAAAAACACATAGTACAAAAATAAAATGAAGTGAAATGTATGTGCATTTGCCCTCTTAGAATTATGTTTCTTAATTTTTTTTTTTTACCTTCCTTTCTTTGGATACGAATCACCAGTGTGGAAACTGTGTGTACAGCAAGCTTGGAGAGAGGAAGGAGTTAATTGCTTCTAAGGCCCTGCAATAGAGAATTATGGTTTGAAAGATAGAGGCTGGACAGCTGGGTTTGCTGGGGTATTTTTAAATGCATTAATGCAGGCTCCAATCACTCGGCCAGGCTTGACCTATTTTTGGCTCAGGCCGACCATTGTTCTATTTCTGTGCCTGTGGGCCATGCTGTTGTTGATTCATATGCAAATGGATTATCACTAGGTTTAGCCAACTTGAGCTGAGAGAGACCAGAGAGGGGGGAAGACACACACGCAAACAGATAGGAGGAGAAGGGCACCCGCTGAAGCCACTTGCAGGACTGACGGTTGTTGCAGGGAAACTCTAGCAGCCTGAAGAACTTTAAGCCAGGTTTAATTGGTTTCTTTTTCTCATGGGGAGAGTTAATATTTTTCTACTTTTTCTGACAAAGCAATAACCCCGAAGCACATTCCAATTTCCCACCTGCTTTTAGTTTTCAGGATAACCTAAACCCCAGAGAGTCATAGCATCCACCCGATCATTTCTGCTTTGCACACAGGTTGGTAACAGGGGAAAAGTGTCCAGGTCTTTTGAAAAAGTGTGTGTCCATCTGAACAGAAAGGAGATCATTGTCGAAGTTGATCCTCTGCTGCTTCTCCTCGGGGAGGAGGGAGGACCAGTGAGGGCAGCTCCTGGGGCCCCTGCACGGAGCAGAGATGAATCTTTCATGGAGCTGAGGGGAGAGTGATTGCAATATGCTGCAGACAATTTACGAGAGTGACTCGTGTTTTTCCTCAGATGGGGTGGCTGGACGAGAGCAGCTCTTGGCTCAGCAGAGAATGCACAGTATGATCAGCTCAGGTAAGATCCTCCTTCCTAACTGAGACGTTGTACCCACCCGTGTAAGGGGGCTGGCTTGGGAAATGCAGCTAAGAAAAGCACTTCTTAAGGATTTGCTGCTTTTTGGTGTTCGTGTTGCTATTTTCTTGGTGCGTCTGTAGGGTTTATCTTCGATCCCTTTCATTGCTGTTTCTGTGCATATTCAGTCTGTTGAGGGCCGGCTGCTTCTGAATGAAATCGCAAAGCTTCTGATGAAGGATGGGACTGAGAGAAAGTCAAATGTAGTGGGGGGTGTTTTGCCTTACTGTGCAACTAGAAAAAGGAGATCAGTACTGATTGGAAGCATATTCTGATGGGACTTTAAAAATCAGGTAAGTTCATATGGGGGCTTCAGCTTGCGTTGCAGCCTCTCCGCTAGCCAGATGATTTTGTATTTACAGTGTGCATACAGGAGCTTATCTGTTTATAGACCTACCTTCTGAATTGTGTTTGCTTCGGAGTTGTGAAGGTAGTTTAAATGTGGCTTTTCCCCCGCATCAGCCCAAAATGAAACTATTTGGGATGAAATAGAATTATTATTAGTGGGTGGTTATTTTAATTTTCTTCAAAGCCATGTGGGGAGTCTAGCATTGTCAGTCAGATGCGATGCTGTCACACACATGTAGAGGTGTGAGAGGCAGGTGCAGTGTCTTAAAGAACAACAGTCACAGATTCCAGTTTCTGGTTTCTCTGTGTGCGTGTGCCGGTGCCTTCGAGGAGGTGTGCTGAGGAGATGAAGCCTGTCAGCTTTGCCCGTTTCTGTCCAACGAGGGGACTCTCCAGGCAATATCACTTATTTGTCACTGGTGCTGTCCACGTTTATGTCCTGTAGCTTGTTCGGAAAGCTTGGCGTTTGTTTTGGTTCTCTTCCGAAGGCTTCGAGCCACCTTGACTTAAAGTTTTCCCTGAGATCTTCTAAGTTGCTCTGTGGGCTCAGTCATAGCTATAGATCCCCACCTAGACTCCTATGGAAAAAATGCACCATAGGGCGGTGTTTACTTGATGTGGAAGAAATATTCCACAGGTTGGCATGAAGTCTGTTTCGGTGTTGAACACCCCACCCTCTGGGGTTCTATGTTTGAAGCAAGTTTTCTTTAAACCTCGGTTAGCTGTGATGATTTTAAGATTCTTCCATTGACCCAGACTTTTCATGGAATTAAATATCAATTTTGGACAATTGGGTAAGTTTACACGTAAGTGACAGGAACTATATTCATTAGGAGTGCCCGCTTATCTAAAGCGAACGTACCAGAATTTCAGCACATTTTGTTATTTTCCTGCTTGTGAATTTGACAAGAGCTCAGGGGAGGTGTCAGCTGGTGTAGAACCGGTCACTTCACTGAGCACGTTATTTTTTAAATATGGACCAACTCTATAAAGATAACAATTTTAGGTATCGCCTGAGTATTATACTTCATCCTTTTAGTCCTCGCAGCTCTGCCCCAAGTTCAGTGTTTTCCTCATAGGGTAGAAACAAAGCTGGGCCTTTGCAGCAGCCTCTGGCTCCTGGCAGTGACTGCCGTTACAGGTGTTTACAAGCTTCACTGTTTCCCAGTGCCTCTGCTAGGTGTGCCTCGCTTTCCTCTGACTTCACTCGACAGTGCCATCTTCCCAACGGTGAATGCTTTTATTACAAAGCAAGTTATGTGTTCACGCAGGGCCATGCTTGACACTGTCCACACTGTTGCCAGTTCCGCAGGAGGCGACACTGAAGCCCCGACAATTGAATAAAAAGTGATGTAAATTGCTGTTAACTCCCACATCCGTGTGGTGGAAAGAAAGAAACTCCAGTTGCCATTTATTTTTAAAATTTGAGACATAAAAACATTTGCATCCTTCCTATCATGTAGTGTAAAGTTTAATTTTGTTTAATGTAACATGGCTTTAAAGTTAATTACCCCGGTCTTTATTGTATACTTCCCCTGAGGAACTGGCTCTCACACTTGGAGTCACCGGGAGGATTTTACAAAATACTGATGCCTGAGTTCTCGAGTTGCTGAGTTAATTGGTCTGGGAAACAGCCTGAGTATAGGGGGGTTTAAAATCTTCCCAGCGATCCCACTGTGAGCAAACCTTTGAGAATCGCTGATGTGAGGGGGGGGGAGTGATGGCGATGCTGGTCACCTTTGTCAGAAGGGTTTGTCCTTTAAGTTAATTTCTGAGCTGAGGGTGTGTTGCTCTTGGTTCAGTTACAAATCTTGTTTCACTCCCTCTGGATCAGTGGCAGGAATGTGATTGATGAGCTTAGATATGGGTGGAGTCCTTGGATCTGAAAGAGAGAAAAGATAACTTGGTAACTGTGGAGTGGTGCAGAGAGCACTGTTCTAGGAGTCTGAAGCTCTGTTCTCAGAGCTCTGCTCTGGCCCACTGTGTGGCTGGTTTGCTCACCTGTAACCTGAGGAATCATGGGGTCCTCTTACTTACCTCTTGGTATTCGTGTGAGTTCACATGTAACATCATCTTATTAACATATATACTCTCTATTATTATTACTGTTTCCAGTGAATGAACCTGAGCTCCTGGCTCTTCAGTGACTTGCTCTATCTCTCTGATCAAGACACATGAGGTAGATTATATGTCACACAGGGGAATGATTTTTTTGTTTGGATAGTAAGTTTAGTTATCTAATAAATCAGCTATTTTTTCCTGGTCAGATAAGAAGTAAATACTTCGCTTGTGTAAATTGTGACTGTAAAGCCAAGTAGCCAGTGTGTGTACAGGAGTGTGTTCTGTGAAATGTGTCCTTACACTTTGATCAAAGGTAAGCAAGGTGAAGAATATATCATTGAACAGTGAAGCCCCAACTGACCGCAGATTTCTTGAGATTGTTTAAAAAGCTTTGTTCTATTGTTAGCCATTGCTTTAGAGTTCCCATTTATTATTCCAGATATATTGGATACTATACTTTAATACAGAAGAGTTTTCTCCAGAGATCTTTATATGTTACTAAATTGTGTTTTAATAGTTTCATTTATTCCCCTAAAATTGACCCACCCATGCTAGACATTTTATGGAGAGCTAGGTTCTTCAGTGTGGTCTGCTACTGTCTTTTTAGTGGGAAAAAAACTCTATAACATTGAATCTTGGAATTCGGTATGAGTGACATATTTTGCCATATCAATGTCCACTTCTGTAGCAAGAATAAGTGATAACGAATGAAGGTACAGGTGTCGACTCAGGTCCCTCAGGCATGGCTGGCAGATTGGGGTGTCGTTTGGTTGCCAGGCCTGTTGCTTAACACGCTGGGCAGCAGAGCTGACCAGACAGATTCAGAACCATTGTTATGAGAGAATGTCCTCGAGTTTGCACAGCATTAGAGTAAAACACAATGACAACAAGGAGAGCATTTTGACTATGTATTCTTTCTTTGTTTGCTATCTATTTATTTACTTATTTGTGTATTTTTCACTATGTAGTCTTATCTTAGGATATAAAAGAAAAACATTTAAACCTAAATCCTGAATCTCTTTCATGGAGAATGAGAATCTCTTTCACGCTTTCAGAATCCTACACTCGCCACTCCCCACCCCCCCACCCCCGGCCCCCGCACCACTGCCCCCAGCCCTTGGTGTGTATCGTTAAAGGGAAGGGGAATTTTGGGTTCAGGAGTCGTGCGTGTCCACTTGGGAAGCAGGATCTAGTTATGAAAATGTAAGTCTGTGAAACGCTCCTGGCATGTCAAGAATCACTTCTGGTGTTCCCCATAATCACTGTTTTGCTGTTCTCTAACTCAGGTAGTCTTCACTTACAGGCTGTGATGGGTTTGGAAATTTGGTAAGGGACAATCAAAAGGCTAGTTATGAAAAGGCCCATTCAGAATGGGAATAGAGTATTTTTTATTTCTATGGACGCAGGTGGCATACTTGTGAAATCCTTCAAGGAAGAAGACAAAAATAAACCCAAATTGTGAATGTAAAAAGGTGATTTTGGTTTTGGAGATGAGGCATTTGAAAATCTAGCACATAATTTCTCACCCTGATGGATAATAGAGTGATCCTAAAACAGTATAAGCCAGGAAACACGGCCCCACCCCGACACACTTAATATTAGCATGACTGAGCACAGAAAATGGTGTGACCTACTGTACTATGCCTCAGACTTTGGTCGTCAGGAAAAAATGGAAGCAGGGGTCCTGGTCCCCTTAGAGTTTTACTGACAAGATGGCAACTCGCTGAAAATTCCCTCCCGTTCTGGAGAGAGAGAAACTGACTGGATATATTCCACCCTTTTTTTAAAAAAGTGTTCTTGTTGCTTCTTGTAACTGAGGAATAGTAGAAAGGATTCTGGAAGAGGAACTAGTGAAATGGAAGAAGGCAAACACACATTGTTCCTCTGGAGAAGTGAAGGCTTCAGAGCACCATCCAAATTGGGAAAATGATCTGTAGTTCTTTGCAATAGAATACCCTTCCTCAACTAATCTTAGAGCTTCCACCAAGAAGAAAACATCAACCCATTGTGTCTGTGGAACTGTCTAATACTTGCTTCTTATAAATAGGGCACCAAACTTAATAATACAAATTCTGTAAAACAATAACTCAAAGATTAGATAATGAAACAATAGAATGAGATGAAAAAGGATAGTTTAGATCTAGGGAAACAGATTGAGAATGAAAATAGCATGACAATTATAGAACAAAAATATTTATTAGAAGTAGCAGGAAACAGAATAGACACCAGTGAAAATCTTTACCAACAAAGAGGAAAGCAATTGGATAGAAGTCAATAATAATAAGAAAGACAAAGACAATATAACAAAAGGTTATTTATATCCCTGAAGTTGATATTCCAAAACATTTAAACAGAAGATAATTTTGTAAAGATGAAGAAAGATGATTTCACTGCAAAAGAAAAAGATAAATCTGCAGATTAAAAGAGCTCCTGTCTTTTAAGGACCTTTGCTGGAAATGCTCAGCAGAGTTATGTCCCATCTGGGTGATTAAATTTCAGATGATACATAATTCTTCAGGGATTCACTCAGAGAA